CATATGAAGGTAGTACTCTCATCCTGTGCAATGGCTTCCAAACTCAAGAAACTCTCCAGACGTACCACTTGAGCTGATTTTATTAAACAGCAGCAGTCTTTGAAGGAGGTCCTGTTTGAATCACCCCTTCAACCATGCCCAGACCCTTTCAGGTTCATCATGACCTACTGGTGGGAATTCGCTGCTAATGGCTTTCAGCTGCATCGTTCAGACATCAGTCCCCAGATGTTAACAACTCCCTCAAAGAAATGTGCCCTACAGTACTGGAAGGACTCCTGCAAGTCCAGACTAATAAGAAGCTATTAAGGACAAATTGCCTTTCATGAAGAGACATAAGCAGGGAGGGAGTCTGTGTTCCAGAGCCTTGCTCCTGCAGGTCAGGTCAAATCCAGAGGCTTTCCTGTGACCACATGCTTGCTCACTTCATTTTTCCCAATCCTGCTTAATTCTCTCCCTTACTGTTTCCCCAATATCAGAAGACAACCACTTCACTAAATTTCTTGCACAAAAGTCTTCATCTCAAGCTCTGCATTAGCAGAACCCGGGAAAGAGCAGTTTTCATTTTAATCTGTTTCTTCTCATGGGGGATCCAATGCAGTTAATACATTTCAGGATGTTTTTCTAAAAGGCAGAGGTTTGTCCTTCACCTACCTCTGTACTTACTCAGTCCTGGTCTCTTTCATTGATTAAGTGTGCCCCAAATGTAGTATAGAGTAAGATGAGCAGAAACAAGTATATTTTTCTAAATATACACCTGACAATAAAAGCAAATTATTGGCTTAAACCTGCTAGCTTCTGGCCACAAACAGATTTGTGCTGCTCTCAGTCTTGGAGAAGCTTCACATTGCAGTGTGTAATGCAGAGATCTATAACTGTTCAAAGCATCAGAATAAGCACTCTGAATGCTCAGCTGTGGATGTGATACATATATCAAACACTGCTCCCCCATTTGCCAAAGCTCAGATAATATTATGGATGCTGTGGGTGGGGGGATGAAAGAAGCTAGAGGATGAGAAAAAGTGCTGTTAAAAACTGTACTCTGGACATGACATGGATGTTGCACATGTGAACTCATAGCAGCTGTGGTTACCTGCACAAGATCAAACCAGTTACAAATTCCAGCTTGGAGGAGGAAGAGGTTCCCAAGGCTCTGCGCCGAGCTGAGAGCTGAGGAGTTACAGGAAATTGGCGGCTGTTGGGGAAGGGAGAGCCTTGTTTGGGGGCAGTGGCCACTGGTAGGTTGCTCAGGCTCCAGTGGATGACCTTACGGTGGATGCATATGGGTAGACTAATTGGACTCCGTGGATTCTGAAAAAAATAAAAGAAGGCATGAAGTTGGGAGGGAGACGTATTGGGGGCTCTCTAGGGGCATTTAGAGGGGAAAATGGGGTGTATATGAACAAGATACCCTGTATATATGCATGACATTTTCAAAGAATAATTTTTAAAAGTAGATTCTCAAGAATCCTATTGGCAAATTTTGTGTTCTAGTTGCTATCCCAATGTTAGGCACACTGGATACCATCAATTAATTTTGCTTGATGTATGACTGTGGTTTAAAAAGTTCCTTTCTTGTTATCGAAATGATTAAATAGATAGATCTTAGAGATAATTAATGTGCACCAAATATATTTCTGAAATATCAACCAAGTATTAAGTCTGAGAAAGATTATAGCCAATTAATGATTGAATTCTTTAGAACAAATAGTTGTAGAACAAATACTTTTCATACTTAAAAGGACCTCGTTTATCAGAATGTGAGAGACATTTACCATTATATTCCAACTTGTTGAAAATCTAATCTATAATCTTGATCAGTTGTGTAGGAGTTCATTTACATTGGTCCAACCATGAGCTTCAGCACCTTAGCTTGTGTGTGTACATGTGTATATTCATGTGTGTACATGTACTTGTATGTGTGCGTGTGTTTCTGTGTTTGCATCATATCATACCTAGTTGTTGAGATTTATTTATTAAAGAAAAAGACTTTTTTCTCCTATCAGGCAACTACTGTTTTATAATTTGGGAATAGTTAACACTAGGTGGCAGGATGAGACTGCACATACCCAGTTCCTCAAAGCTAAGCATAAAAAGGCTTATACCATTTCCACAGGTCTTGAGTGTTCTCCATCAAAAATACATCATATTATTTTTGAATATGCAATGAATACATTCAAAATTCCCTTATATTCATATTCAAAGTCCTATACTGTAGAAAATACTATTGTGTTAAATAATATGAATGAAATTTTGAAGAAAATATAGTGAAATACAAATTGCTAAAACCTCCACAATTTATATCAATAATATGACAAATAATATTATCTTCTAGTACTGGAAAACATTAAAACCATTTGTCATATTTTAAATAAATGATTAATTTATTCATAACATAAACTTTGGTCATATAAAGAAATGCTACATAGGTCAAGGCCCCAAATGAAAATTTAAATACAACTTTTATTTTCATAGTCAAGACTGGTATTCAGCAAATAAAAGTATTATACAATACATTCACTACAAATTTGTATCCAAAGATGAAAAACATCATTTTAATGTGAACTGCAGCTATTCTAGAAGGAGAATGAATTATTTTAAACTTTGCAAGGAAAGGAGATTTCAAGGCTCCGAGATGAACTATCCACACATGCACTTATTCTTGGTATTTATTTACCACTTGTCAGTGCAAATTCATATGACTACAGTGACCACATAGAATTTTTCATCCATACAGGACCACTTCAGAGCCTGGAACTGGGATTGCCTTAGGAAACTAAGACAAAAGATTGCCCTATCAAAGAATGTCTACCCCAGAGGGCTCATTTTACCCTACTTAAACTAAGCATCTATCCCTGTGCTATGTTTAAAATTAATTTTATTAATCTATTATGTTCTTCATCTGCCAGCACCAGCTTTTTTCTTCCAATAGCCACTCTACAATGCTAATGAATACCAGTAAGACACACTGAGCTCCCTCAAGGGTTCAAATCTGCCAAAACATAACAAGATTCAGGCTTTTTAAAGAGGCAAATATTCAGCTGAATATTTTTATGTAATTTGTCTCTTTTAAGGATACATATTATGGAATACTATATATATATATATAAGTGACATATACATATATATGGCAGTGAAATCATTTTTATCTTTATTTGGATAGTATATATTGATTGTTCACTTAAAATTGAATTTTCTCCACTTGTAAAATTCTTATGCACTTAAAGTTTGTTAAAACAACAATACTTTCATTTAAATGATAAATAATTTCAATAAGAATAGTGAAAATTCTTCCTTTGGTTTAGTAATATCAATGTCCAAGCATTGGATAGAGATTTTGTTACCAAATGAAATTAATTTTCTATTGGTTTGAAAATTTCTAATAGTGTTTCTGGGTAAAGCAGTAAAATATCAGATCCACTTATTTCCTTGCTAAATTTTGTTTTTTATGTAGTGTATAAGTATTATGTATTTCTCAAATGGCAAATTCTATTAACAGACAGAATACATGATTTTGTTAATTTCATAAATTATGCAAAAGATAAGTAACTAATTTTGTATCATTAAGAACACAAAAGAGCTGGGCATGGTAGTGCACTCTAAACCAAGCGCTGGAGAGGTAGACGCAGGCAGATCTCTGCAAATTTTGGCTAGCTTGGTTTACATAGTGAGTTCCAGGGCAGCTATAGCTACAGGGATACTCTGTCTCAAAAAAAAATTAGAGATAATAAATAAAGAACACAAAAGAATTCTTAGTTCAGAATGTGTATGGCAGAATGAATGTAATAGTGATAGGCCATCTCAGTTACCTAGTAGCTATACTGTAATGTTTTTGTTTAGTTCCAGAATGGTTATCCAAACATCTGTTTTTATATTAAAGAGTACATTTGAGAAGGTTCTCCCTTTCATTTCACTTGTCCCTGCACAGCTTCTTACCTTGTGGCTTCCTGAAAATTCTCAAAGCATTTGTTACAATTTCTTTCCATGTTCATAAAATGGTACTTAATGATTTGGTAAACACATTCATGATACAAGTATGTTTATAGGTAAAACTTTTTTAATATTAAAGTGCATTGCCTATTTGTAGTATCATGTTAGAAAGTAGCCACATTCTGGGGCTGGAGAGATAGCTCAGTGGTTAAGAACACTGATTGTTCTTGCAGAGGACCCAAGTTCAAATCCCAGCACCCACATGGCAGCTAACAACTGTCTGTAACTCCAGTTCCAGGATATCCGACAGTCTCTTCTGTCCTCCGTAGGCATTGCACGACCCAGGTGTACTTACCTACCTGAAGGCAATACACACATACACATAAAATAAAAATAATAAATAAAATATTTTAAAAAGAAAGAAAATAGCCACATTCTTTTAAGGCTTTTTTGAGGTACAACTTTTGTGGTATGATTTTTCAGGTTACAGAGAGTGGCATAGTTACATCAAATATCTTTAAATGTGTACAATAATGTTAGCCTTATGAATTCTTCTGAAAAGTTTTCTCTAAAATATTCTTAAATGTATAACATGAAAAACTAATACATTATATGTACAGACTGGTTAACAACACACACACACACACACACACACACAAACACACACATTCTTATGTCATGAACAAAGTGTAAGGAAATTTTAAAATGGCAACATAACACTTCACTTACTTATGTAAAATTGATTGTAGGATCTACTTATCAGAGTTCCAAATTAATGATTCAGAATTCATTAATTCTGATTCCTATAGTTCCATGCCCCTTTAAGAAAAAAGATTTGACAGATAAAAATTTTTCCTAGTTGTTCTGTGAACTGTAATTCAACACATGCACGCGCGCGCACACACACACACACACACACACACACACACACACCTAACTTCTTTGATTCTTTGATTCTTTTATATTCAGATTTCCTTCAAACCACAGGCAGCTCTGTTTGGCAAGTTCTAACAGAACTCTGTCAAGGTAAAGCCAGCCAGATTTTGCTGGTAACAATGTGTTCAAACAGCAAATGAGTTCTGTCTGTTCAGGCTGCTTCTTGCTCTTGTCTCAGAATAAGAATCCTGGTGTAAGCTATTTGAGAAAGAAAGTAACCTAACACTAACTGCAGGCGGGGTCCAGTGATGTAACAGGAAGCTCTGATGTTTGCCTTCTGCTTCTGATCACTTACAATCTGACAACACTCCCCATCTACTCAGAGCAAGCCCTCTCTCTCCAGCAGTGTCACTCCTGCCCTGGGATCATCAGACTCTGCTGCCTAGAGCTCACCCTGCCTGCAGGATCACATTGCAAGGCTTTCTCTCTTCCCCACCTCGCCTGTGAGGAATCTCTTCAGCAGACTCTCAGATAATCATTTTCCATCCTGAGACTATTTCACCCAGAATTTTCTGAGGCGCCTTGCTGGGTAAGTGCATTATTCAAAATAAATGTATTTATTCTCAGTACTTTTCTCATGTACTTTATCAATGTTGCTAGCAAGAGTTTAGTGAAGTGGCAGTGAAGTAATGTTAAGACAGTCTCATTTATTCCACATGTTAAGGAAAGTACAGAGTATTACCCCAAAGTGCATACAATCGATGATTATAGCATGATAGAATTTATGGTGATATTTTATAAAATAAATTTACCAGGTAATTACAATGTAAATGGATTAAAAAGACAAATTTCTGAATACCTTAATCAGGAAACAATGCCATTTAAAATTAGCTCAACTATTAGCTAAGCTTGAGTCCTGACAGCTGGAAAACATTTTTCCCCGGGAAAGGTCTTTAAACTTTCCACATAATCAGTATTCTAAGGAAGAGATGAAAGAATGAAGACTTATGGGGTCTCAGAGTTTCCCTGTGGGGCTGACACAAAGCCAGGCTCAAAGAAAGTCACGTTGCACCTCTGCCTTCTTTCAGTTCTATTTACACTTACATCTCTAACTATTTAGCTGAATTTTCTTTGTTTCTTCTTGACAGATGTCTGTAAGTATCTTTTGCTTATTTGTTTGTTTGTTTCGGTTCACATTTTTGCTAATCCCGAACTGCTTCCGTTGTATCATGGGTGGTTTACAAAGAAGGAAAGAAAATAAAACCACCAAAAGTTAAAAAAAAAAAAAAAAAAAAAAAAAGATGTAGAGTTTTCTGTATTATTTCCTAATTTTTAAACTTTTAAGCTTTGAGTTGTGTTATTTCAACTTGACAGTAGCTTTGCGTTAGGGGAAGAGTGTGATAGGGAGCTCTCTGTCCATATAGAAAGACAGCAACATACTAAGCAAGTATATTAGTTCAGTAAACTGAGGATTCAATTATGTATTGAAAGTAATCTTTCCAGGCTGAGGCTGAGATGAAACATCTGTTAATGCTCTCTCTACAGCATACACAATTTAAGAAACTAGTATCCGCTTAACATGCTATTGGTACAGAGGTATCAAAAATTGGTTGCTAGAGAAAATAAGTTGCCAAATTTTGATTCAAATTATACTGCATATTTATTAAATACTATGTTTTCTTACCTAAATGAAATGATAAACTGTAAGATGTCCCTCAATTCCAGCATCCTTTGCAAAGTCCCGGAATCAAATAAAGTCTAGCAAATTAGCGGTACAGTGCATTACTCCTGAGGAACTTCTAGGTGACTTTTGATTGTTTCCCCACACATTTCTCAGTGTATTGAGAACATTAATTCTTACATAGCATGTTTCTTTTTAAATAGTGAAGCTGATTTATTTTTTCAATATTTTTATTCTACCACTGAATTCACTGACATGTATAGAAATGGGAGGGATGTTTTCAGAATAATTGGTAGATTAAAGAAAGAAGTGGAAACAGTACATTAAATAACCCAATATCAAATATAATAACAGAAATTAAAAGAACACTATTCTAAGTCATATTGTCTTAAATGAGGTACTGTATTAATGCAATGCTGCAAATTAGTAACTCCAGAGACATTTCTAATTTATTAATATTTCCAAACTCATAATTATCTTGCATAATTTATTGAAATTGTATCTGTATTGTTTGCATCTGTACTAATAGTATTATTTATAACAATTTAATTACCAAAAATACCACACGATGAATTTTGCCTAATGATAATCATTAGACAAAGGCTTTATTAGAGAAAACAACTGAAAATTTAAAATAAAATTTATATTATTGTATAATCAAGTTTGTGTTTTTTTAAATGAATGTCGGAGAATCAAAGCATGTTTTTAATCCAGATTAATGGTTTATTTATAGGTGATATTTTCCCATAACAACATAAAATCAATGCATACAACCTTACACAAGTTCTAAATGTGTAAAATAAAATTAAAACTTACCTGAATAATTACTGAAATATTTTAACTAAATTGTTGTCTTTGTAAAGAGATGGCTTTTGAGTTATTTTTCAAGATCTTTTCATCTAATGTGTCAATGTTAAAATAAGTAGGTTTTTAATATATATAAAATTTTGTATTCATCTTGAAAAAACTGGAAAAAACAAACAACAACAAATTATATCTGGGTTTGTACCTTTCAAAGGTACTCTATGGTGATTCATAAAATAAATAAACTTTAAACATAATCAATATCATAGCAAATTTATGACAAATTTTATGTTTACCTGCACATATTAATTTTTATTTTTATCCATAATAGAAATAAATTTCAGT